GTACGATTCAATCTGGGCCGTTCGTATACGATTCAATCTGGGCCGTCCGTACGCGTGCAATCTGGGTCGTCCGTATGCGCTTTTGATCTGGGTCGGTCGTGCGCGCGGGAACTGATCTGAACCGTTTGATCGCACGCACGCGGATCACCCATGTGGCTCCCTTCCGCGTGGCCTCTCGCGTCAGTATCTCTGCCACGCGACGTGTCCTGGTTGGTCGGCGCTGCTGATCGGGCTGCTGACGTGGCGCAAGTTTTTCAAATTGCGTTTTGACCCCCAGTTTTCAAATTTTCTTTCAAAAATACCATCAGAATCTAAATTTTCACCCATTTTTCTCAAAATTACTTTCAATTAAATCCCTAAAATAATTTCACCTCATTTTTATTATATTTATTATTATTTTTTTTATTTAATATAAATTAAAGTAATTTAAAATAAATTAAATTCGATTTACACTTAATTATATTTATTTAGAATTAATTAAAAATAATTCAGTAAAATAATAATAATAATAATAAATAAATAAATAAATAAAGTTTTTTGGGTGTTACAATTCTCTCCTTAAAGAAATTTGGTCCCTCAAATTTGCCTCTTATTCTTGATTGAACAACTGGGGGTATTGGGCTCTAAAGTCTGATTCTAACTCCCATGTAGCCTCCCTTAACGTGTGATTCTGTCACACGACCTTTACAAAGGATATTTCCTGATTGCGGAGTAATCTGCTCTTTCGGTCCGTAATACAAAGTGGTACTTCCTCATAAGATAAGTCTTCCTGAAGTGGAAGCGGTTCATGAGCCAAGACATGAGAGGGGTCTGGGTTGTACTTACGTAGCATGGATACATGGAACACATTGTGGAACTTGAAAAGCTCTGGAGATAGTACTAGTCTATAGGCGGCAGTACCAATCTTATCTAAGATTTTGAATGGTCCAATGAATCGGGGGTTCAGTTTTCCCCTCCTGCCAAACCTACTAATTCCCTTGAAATGAGTGACCTTGAGGAACACCTGATCACCTTTCTCAAACGCTAAATCTCTCCTCCGAGTGTCCGCGTAACTCTTCTGTCTGCTCTGAGCCGTCTGAATGTTCCTTCTGATCTTAACTATCTTGGATGTGGTCTCCTCCACTAGCTCCAGGCCGAACAGTTTCTTACTGCCCCCTTCTTCCCAACAAATCGGCGATCTGCATAGACGCCCATGTAACGCCTCATACGGGGCCATGCCATTGCTCATTTGGTAACTGTTGTTGTAGGCAAATTCTATCAAGGGCAGATGGTCGTCCCAATGGCCCCCAGAGTCAAGGATACAAGCTCAAAGCATATCTTCAAGTATACGGATTGTCCTATCTGATTGTACATCAGTCTACGGGTGGAAGCAGTACTGAGGACAGCTTCGTTCCCATGGCTTGCTGAAAGCTACTCCAAAATCGAGAGTGAACCTAGGGTCCCTG